ACATGGATGGAGCTAGAGGGTATTATGCTCAGTGAAATAAGCCAGGCAGAGAAAGACAAGTATCAAATGATTTCACTCATCTGTGGAGTATAAGGATAAAGAAAAAACTGAAGGAGCAAAACAGCAGAAGACTCACAGAACCCAAGAATGGACTAACAGTTACCAAAGGGAAAGGGACTGGGGAGGAGGGGTGGGAAGGGAGGGATGGGGGGGAGAAAGGGGGCATTATGATTAGCATGTATAATGTGGCGGGGGCACACAGGGAAGGCTGTACAATACAGATAAGACAAGTAGTGATTCTACAACATCTTACTACGCTGAAGACAGTGACTGTAATGGGTTATGTGGGGGGATCTTGGTGATGGGGGGAGTCTAGTAAACATAATGTTCCTCATGTAATTGTAGATTAATGATGCCAAAATTAAAAAAAGCTTTATTAACAGAGATATGAAAGCCAGAACAAAGGAGGTGACAGAGCTCAATTATACCTGTTCATTCCTTTGAAAGAAATCCTGAGATTTGAAACTTGTTGGGAGGATGACAAGGGACACAGAGAGGACCCCCAAATCCTAGAGGGCCTAGAAGGTCTTTGCCTAAAAGGCTCTGGCTTCCTACATCCTGCAGCTTCATCATTCACTTGACAATATTTATCACATGCCAAGTTTCCTTCTAAACATTTCACTTATGTTAATCAACTCAATACTCAGAGCAACCCTAAGAAGTAAGTACTATTATTTCTTCCATTTTCAGAAGAGGAAACCAAGGCACAGAAAGGTTAAGTGACTTCCTTGAAGTTGCAGAGATGGGACAGTGTTGGGGTTTGAAAAGGGAGTCAGGCTCCAGAGCCTTGACTCTTAACCACTGTCTCTGTCTAGAAGCCAAAAGTCTTAATGTTTTGGAGACAAAAGTCTTAATGTACCATCTGAACATCTGGTGCAAACTCTAAACGCTTTTTCTAGAAAAATGCACACATTTAATTTTTCATTCCATTTCAGGGGTTCACAGATCCCAAAGACCAAGTAAGACCAAGGTGTCATACACTTAACACCATCTCTAATCACATGAACAGTCTTTAAGGATCTTTGAATAAGGTTGTGGCAAGACTTTAAAAAAATTCAGTCTGAGGCTGAGAAAATGATGAGATTGGGGTCAGGGAGTGGGGGCAGTTAGCAGATACTGTGGATATGAGTCACCCCACTGCATTTCCACATTGCAGGCAGAGTCATTTTTAAACCAGTAGCCAGGCCATGAACTGCCTGCTCATGCCCTTCATTGACCTCTGGCTCTTGAAGGGTGTCTTCCCCCAGGGGCCACAGATCTTCAGGGGCTCATGGCCCACCCAGGAGGAGCATTCCTAACTCAGTAAAACCCAGCCCAGGAGTGATAACAGCCAATCCAAAGGGTACACACTGTGTGATTCCATTTATGTAACATTCTTGAAATGACAAAATTATGGAAGTGGAGAACAGATTAGTGGTTGCCCAGGGTTAAGGGGGTGAGGGGGGAGGGAGGGCAGGAAGGCAGGTCAGCATGGCTATAAAAGGGCAACAAAGGGATCCTCGTGATGATGGAGCTGTTCTGTATCTTGTCTGCGATGGTACAGACACAGACTTGTGCATGTGACCAAACCACGCAGGACTATATACGTGCACACACACACACACACACACACACGAGTACAAGGAGAATGGGGACAAACTGAACAAGATCAATGGTTTATACCAATGTCAATATCCTAGCTGTGATACCGTACTATAGTTTTATAAGATGTTACCCTTAGGGAAAACTGAGGCATCTCTATTTCTTACAACTGTTTATGAGTCCATAATTATCTTAAAATAAAAAGCCTAAGAAACTAGAAAACAAAACCAGAAAATCGCCTCAAGCCTCCTGATGATCTGGTCCCTGCTACCTGTCTACTGATGATCTGGTCCCTACTACTTGTCCACTACTTCCTCCTACCCAGTCTTCTTCCCCCATAAGCCTTCAGTCCTACTGGCCTCAACTCCTGACCCTTTCTACCCTCACAGCCTTTACACCCAGAAACAATACCTAATGAGGGCTCCCATGTTTCTTCTTATCACAGCGCCCTGCTTATTTCTGTCATACACTTAACACCATCTCTAATCACATCACTGAGGTTACATGTGTGAATGCTTATTTCAGGATGTAGATGGCGAGGAAAGATCTGTCTGCAAAAATGTTTTCAACTTCCCACAGGTCAAAACATGCCATAAAAAAACAAATAAAAAAACACTTCAAACAACTAGAAAAACGTAGCAATCTACATTACAGAAGGTTAATGGCCTTCATATATAAAGAGGTCTTATAAATCAATGACAAACATCCCTTTAAGAAAAACAGGCAATGGACATAAATAGTTCACCTAAGAATTATTCCATGTTGGCAAAATATGAACTAGACTCTCTTGTTCTGCTGCTAGTTCATTAAGTTGAGAGTGTCAAAGATAACCTATGACATTTAAATTATTTCTTTGCCTATATGTATAATTTGTCTCCCCCTATAAGAATGCAAACCCCATAAAGACAGAGCTTTATGTTTGCTGTGGTCATTGCTTTGTCTTCAGTGCCTAAACAGTGCCTGACACATACATAGTATATACTCAATAAACACCTATTAAATGAGCAATTGGTTAAAATTCAACAATAATAAATTCAATAATCTATTTTTAAACATGGAGTATGTACCAAGTTTTTGCCTGCATATAGAATTTATCATGTGCCTATCACTGTTCTAAGTATTTACTACATATTAATCAGTTTAGTTCTCACAGCACCTCTATGAGGGAGGTGCCATTAAAATCCCCATTTTATAGATGACGAGACTAAGGCACAGAAAGGGTAGAGCCCTTGCTTGTGGTCACAGAGCAATTTGAACCCAGGCAGTCTTACTCCAGAATCCAAGCACCTAACTGCTGTGATTTTCTGCCTCTTGAAATGTGGTCCTTGCAACCCTGGGATATAGTCTTATTGGCCAAAGAGGAAAAGTGAGGCCTAGAGAGGCAAGTGACAAGGCCAAGGCCTCAGAGCCAGGAAGGAGCTCTGGGAAAGCACGAGCCAGGAAAAGAGGAAAAGCACCCGGGGTGCAAAACACTCCTGCCGGCAGGGAGACTTGCTTAACTCACTCTTTTCATCTGGGGGGAGGTGAGTTGCGAGTCCTGAAGTGTCAGAAGCCAGCAGCAGTCGGGAAGCGGCCGAGGAGGGCTCCTCCTGAGCCCAACAGGCTTCCTGCTCCTTTTCCCTCCCTTAGCCACTGAATTGGCTTGCGGGGGGTACTGGAATGGGCAGACAGGATACAGCCAGTCCTGTGATGAAAGGCACATAGAGAGGAAGCCGGGGGCAGCAGGGGCTGCGGGTGGCCTCCCTAGGGAGCTGCTGACCTTTGAAACCACAAACTTAAGCCAGCCTGGAGCTTCCTCTGGCCTCCAGGACAGCTGGTCAGGTCTGGCAGGAGGCCAGGGATACACTTCTCCACAGGCAGCAGCCTTCCCAGAACCACTGCCTAGCTAGGGTTCCCAGAACCAGCAGTCACGTCAGCAGCCCCACCCCAGAGGGTGAGACAGGCCATACCAGGACCCCAAAATGGCCTGGGCTCTGCCTGCTGCCCCACCCCCAGCCCAGTGAGTGCAGGGTGGTGGTGGCAGTGGGCTTCTACTACCACCATGGGCTGCAATTTGCAATCTTGGCAGGAGCCCACCAGGCTCCCTGTGTACCTACTGTGTGCTCTCAGTCCTCACCCACTGGCTCATGCCCTTGTGCATTACCCATGCAGGTGTATTCTGAGCATTTACTATATGCCAGCTACTACAGAAGCAAAAAAGGCCATTCATCCATTCACTCATTTATTCATTTCTTCAACAAATACTGAGTGAGAAGTTAAGGTCCTAGGGATTATAAGCAGAGATGTGATGTGAGATATTTCAAGCCATCCCTCTGACTGTGTGCTGTGAAAGGCCTGTAGGGGGCAAGGGTAGAAGCAGGGACCAGGGAGGAGGCTACAGGTCTGGTCCTGGCAGCAGGTGCTGGGCTTGCCCAGGGTTGTAGGGAAGGACTGGTAAGAACAAGCGGGATTCTAGATCTTTTTGAGGGTGGAGCCAATGGGATTTTCAACAGGATGGATTTTGCAGGGTGGATGAGAGATAAAGACAAGTAATCAGGGACAAGAATGACCCTGGGGCTTTTGACCTGAGCCACTGAATGGATGGAGCTGCCATTTACCAGATGGAGTAGAGTGGGAGGGACCAGCGTGGGAATCAGGCATGCAGAGGGGCACGCAAGGAAGCTATCATAAGGGAGCTGTCGGGGCACTCCTAAGGGTCAAGTGTCCCCAGAGGGATGAGCAAGAATTACCCAAGGGAAGTGGGGGGATGTGGAGGGAGGAAGAATGTCCCAAAGAAGGCACTTTGGGCTCCATGAGGGCAGGGAATGTGTCTTATCCTCTGTAACCAGAACACTGAGCCCAGGGCCCGGCACAGAGCATGTACTCAATAAATGACCATGTGTAAGCTACTTTGTTCTTATCTTTACACTTACAGAGTGCTTTCTTAGTGCTATGCACTCTTCTGCATGCTTTAAGGCCTCCATATGAGGTCACTACAATTTTTAAGTCCATTTTAGTTTCTGAAGGGTCTTGAGAGAGGTGGGAAGAGGGAAGGGACTGTGCAGAATGAGAGAATAGCCAGGAGGACGGGGTTGTGGCCCATTTCCTACCCTACAAGGCAGTCCTTTGGCTGCAGGGATGGGCAGAAGGAAAGAGGTCAGGGATGACAGCAGAGAGGTGGGCAGGGCCAGAAGAAAACAGTCTACTAGGCATGTTAAGTGATTCAGACCCATCCCCAGGGCAGTGGGGAGCCACTGAAAGCTATTAAGCAGGAGAGGAGTAGATGCAGACCAGCTTCCAGAAAGTCCACTCCATCCAGTGTGTGGAGAATGGCTACAGGTGAGGTGGAGGTGGGGGTTAGGAGGAGGGGTGCTGCTGGGGCTGAGAAGAAGGGGCCTCTCCAGTCCTGTTTGGGAGGTGCAGGCTGCTGGTGGGGGGGTGGCCTCAGGCTGGGCAGTGGGTTACAGTGGCACCTGAAAGAGGTGCAGGCTTGCTGAAGGATGATCACACTCTCTGCAGCAAAGCAGACCCAGTGAGTCCAGACTGGCGGTACCCCCAGGCGGCATCTAGGAGGCAGCACATTCTAGCAGCCTGGAGCTCAGAAGGAAGGCTCAGGCTGGAGGCAGGCTTGAGGGTCATAAGCTGTGGCTGAAGCCCAGGGGACTTGTGCAGGGTGAGACAAGGCCTTGCCTGAGGGACAGGAGAGGGCTGGAGTCCATGAACCACCTTCACAGGATGTGGGTGGGCCAGAGCCCCTGGAGAGGAGGCACCATCTTGGGGACAGGCTGACGTCTTGTGCCAATGCCACTTTACGGCAATGGCAATGTAGACACTCCTGTTGGATGTGCACGTATGGAGTCCACAAGGCCAATGGGACCCACTGGAAGGCATCCAAGTGGTTCCATATAGGACCCTGGAAGCCATGCCCATCTTCAGAAGGTCCTGGAGGCCTCAGGGATCTGTGCCCAGGTGCCACCTGGGCAGGAGCAGCAGTTGACCTCCATCACTCTGCACAGCACTTACTCCTTGCAGCACATCACACATGCACACGTGTCTTGTTCATCATCCAAATACACACCAGCACACCAGCTCCCATCAGGCCAGAGGCTGTGCCTGTTGTGTTCAGGTGTAGCCCAAAATCCAGCACAGTGGCTGGCACACAGCGGAGGGTCCAAGATTCCATGGCTCTTTGCTGAATGGAGGAATGAACAATTTTCCCCTGGCTGTGTACAGGAGGCCTGGCCAGCCATCGCTGATGGAGGCAGGGATGCAGTTCCAAGACCTAGAATATTTCTGCCTCACAGCTAGATAAACACTGACAATTATGGCTCGGAGTCTCCTTAAATATCCTAATGCAGGCATGCACCTTGGCCACTACAGGGTCGCTGACATGCAGAGATCTGGCAATTTGGGCATCACCATAATTATCACTCACAGTCCTGAGGAGCAGACCAGAGCAGACTCTGGGCCCAGGACACTAATTAGATTTTGGCTGTCTTAGTGATGGTCATGGCTCCCGGTGGCCCTACTACTCCCTGAGGTCTGCAAAAGTCACAATGATTGACCCTGCATGTCCCCAGGTCCTCGAGCCATGAGAGACCATGCCCTGGGGCCCTTCTGCCCGTAGGTTCCACACCCTCCTCCCGCAAACTGACTGGCTTCGGTCTCAATTGTATCAAACTCCACTTTGCACTTAAACCTCATTGACTCATTTAACTCTGACAGCAACCAAAGAACAGACAAGGGGAAATTGAGGCCTAGAGAGCTTCAGGAACCTGCCTAAGGATGCACAGTTAGGGATCTGAAACTGGACCTTCTGACTCTGGAGTCCGTCTTCTGCAGTACAGCACCTGGCATAGAGGAAGCAGCCATAAACACACTCCTTTTATACACAATACACATCTCTGTTCATTCCTCATCAGGTGGGGAAGATGTGGCCAAACATTCCCCCTGCATGGAGGGGGACACCGAGGCTCAGAGGAGTTCAGATTTGCCCAAGGTAATGAGACAGGAAGTGACTGAGCTAGAACTTGGCCTCCATTACTGTTTGCTCAGCTCTTACCGGTAAACTTGTCTCAAGAGCGGCCAGGACTCTGCCCCCTGGACAAAAACAAAGCCAGCACCACGTCAGCACAGGAGAGCTCTCTGATCACTTTCTGCCTGCAGACAAGCAGGGGTGGGGGGTGCTCTCCCTCAAGTTCTTCCTGTTGTCTCACCTCATTCCTGGCACAGTTGGGGACACATAGATGTGTGTAGCCACTTACAAGGGCAGGGGCTCCACAGTAGCAAAGACACGGAAGCCTAACTCTGGGCCCAAATGCACAGGTTATGCCGAGTGGCTGAGAGATCTTGGCAAGGTGGGGTCCTCTCAGGGCCTCAGTCTCTTCATCCATGAAGTGAGGGCAGGAACATTTGCCTCACAGATGGTTGTGGGGAGGCAAAGAGACTGTGTCCAGACCGAAGAGGCCTGGGACAATATTGATGTAGCAAGCGGCAAAAGCTCATCTCCAAGCACCAAGTAAATGCTGTGAGACCCTGGAAACAGAACTGTGGCCATGATAGCATGGACAGGACTCACAGGTACAAGCTGAGCAAAGGAAGCTGGGCCCCAAAGGGCAATGCTGATCCCATTCATATGTAGGTCAAAAAACAAATGGGTCTTGGGGTTAAAAATCAGGCGAGTGTCCTTGTAGAGGCAGAAGGGAACCTTCTTGGGGCCTGGGCATGCTTTGCTTCTGGACTGGGCTATACACAAGTGTTTTGTGAAGCTGTACACTTGTCTGCATGTATGGTGTAATAAAAAGGAAAATAAGAAAGATGGATGGGCAGGAAGGAAGAGAGTGGGAAGTGCAACCTAGGCCATTAGGGTAGTCAGCAAAGATCTCAGACCATCTATCCCCAGGGCTTGTAGGATCCTCAAAGACCCTGTAGTCCACTCCCAATGACACTTTAGGTACCCCCATCCCTTACAAGGGGCTATCCACACTCTACTTACCTGCCTCTCACAATGGGACACTCACTGCCTCTGAGGGTAGCTACAGCTCCCAGCCATTTCTCGCATGACCATGGAGAGATACTTCTCCCAGTAAACTAAAATGTCAGACACATGACCTCAATGACTGGGAGAGGACAGTGGCGGCAAGCGTATGCCCAGTCCGAACAAGCAGCCACCACTCTGCTTCAGCTGCCTCTTGCCATGTAAATGAAGACCTGGGCATTATTAGGTCTTCCCATTTTTTTCAAAAGAAGCTCAAAATCCAGATTTTTATGCATATTATCCTGATTTTTAAATGTTGGAAAATAGTTCAACTTTTTAAAACAACACTTCACATGTTGATGCAAAGCATTTTTTTTTCTTTTGAATTCCTGTGGCTGCCAGACTTGAGTCAAAGAGAAGTCCTAGAATATACAGTTGAAGAAAAGAAAACAGATTGAGAAAATTAGTCCAGAAAAACATAAAGATAAGTATAGGACTATTAATACTGAATAAAATAGAATTCAAGGCATCAAAGTATTAAAAGAGAGAAAGGTACATGTTTTATACTGATAAAAGGAGCAATTCACCAAGAAAGTATGATAAACATGAACCCATTTTCTATTCATATATTTTACTTATATGCACCTAACAACATAGCTTCAAATATAAAGCAAAAAAAAAACAATAGAAGGCAAAGAGAAATAAATGAACAGATCCTCTATCCTAGT